TGTATATGTAAGCACACACCTCATGGGACTGGTTCTTGGTTCTTGGTTTATGGTCAATCATGGTTTCAAGTGTTGGTGCTTCGGTTCTATCACCTAGTTTATTTGGGGGGGGAGCGCTACGGACTTCAAAACTTACAATCAGCTATCCAAGGCACAACAAATGGTCTCACAGATGGTCTCCGACTTTATTATGATGGGATTCCATTCTAAGTACTCAGGCAATAGTTGCTTCTGATGTAAGTCAAATACCTTGGGGTTTTCCCCTATTCTTAATGTCTTTTGTTATTAATATCTTTGTAATTCTTACTAGTGAACATCTGTGAGTGAATACACGCTGGCGATACCATAAGCAAATTACTCATTGTATGTAGCACTTATTACTCATGAAAAAATGTACCAAGAACAAAAAAAGAAGAAGAGTTGGGGGTGCAGTTCCCCGCAATTCAGAACTATCTGTAAGTATCTGAGTCAACAGAGGCATATGGAAATTTAGGGTGATGAGGAGGAAATGGAATGTGTGGTTAATTTCCTCCATGTACAACTAACTACCCCCTTTGCCACGAGACAAGAAGTGGATGGTGCCCTGGCTACCATTGTTGAACATGGCGATCAAAGAATCTGTAGTAAAATTTTGATCAAAAGGGGAAATTGTAGAACCGAATTTCAAATTCTCATGAACTCCAGATTTTCTGGAGCCACGCAGGCTGGATGAATGTCTGAAATGATTGCCCTGAAGTAATCTTTAAGCCTTAAACTCAATCAATCTCCTGAAGTCTACTTTGCATCAAACTATTGCGTAGCTTAAGTCGCAAAGAATGTCTGCCTTTAGCAGTTGTGCTCTTTAAGAACGTTCTATACGGAATCAAATTTGGGGGTCTGTGAGCATATGGGAATGAGAGAAAATAATTTGGAAAAGGGTGAAAAAGGTAACACGACTTGAATGTGATCCGTATCCCTAGATTATACATGGGAAAATGGCTAAGTTGGTGTCTGTGAAGGTATTGTTCAGTGAAGTGGAATATGAGAACAATGCCTTAGGATACTTATTTTGATGCACACACACTCCACTCTGAAGTTGTTGGCCTGCAAGGAAGCCAGCCTCAAAATGCTTAGGAGGCTAGAGATCACTGTCTTCTCTTTGTTTGCCTCCAGAAACTTCCACGATGACCCAGGATTTAGCTCTACCTTTTGATCGTTAACTTTGATCGAAAGCTGACACTTCCTCTCTTCCCTCCCAGAGGCGTGTAAGAAGAATCTGACTGTCATGTGGACCAATAGGAGGAGAAGTGAAGCGTGTCTATTTGGTAGTATGGCAAAAGAGTGGTGTGCATGGTAGACAGGCTGGGACAGGCAGTTGGGGCAGAATGGAACCATCTAGATATTGGTACCTTCCCTGAACAAACTAGCCTGAGGATTGAAGAAATTCTAAAGGAAGAATTCAAAAAAGCCCAGAGCTTGGGCAGTTCTGGGTAGAGATTTTTTTTTTGATGTGGATTTAACCTTTGTATAAAACGCTCTTTTATACATGAGTTTTTGTGGATTTGTTTCTCTAAAGTTCCCAGACTAACACACTCACGTAGCTTCGCGAACCTCCCTTCAGTGGTGTCTTTAGGATTTTTACTTCCTTGAGTTCAACATATTTCTCTACCCACACCATTGTCAGGTGAGGACACTTGACTTCCGTTAAAACACGTTATCAGGAAAGTTCAGGTATTTCCCCACAACTAAGACCAAAGAAGACATGATGCATTTGAATTGTGGTGTTGGTGGAGAATATTACAAGAACCATGGACTGCCAGAAGAAACAAATACACCTGCCTCAGAATAAATACAACCAGAGTGCTCCTTAAGCGAGGATGACTATTACTGGCCTCATATACTTCAGACATGTCCCTGGAAAAAGAAAGATACTTGGTAGAAGATCAGCAACAAAAGAAGACCCTGGATGAGACGGACTGACACAACGACGGCAGCAGACATTGTGAGGACAGCGCAGCACCGGGCCAGGTACTGCTCCCTGCACTGTGGCACACACCTCGCTCTGAGTCGGAGGGACCTTGAAGGCACCCGACAGCACAGAAAGAATGAGTCATCAGGTCTCTCCTTGCGCCGTAGAAAATAAAGTAACTGGATGAGTTTTGATGGACTAGGGAGGTGAAGCTAATGGCTTACATTTTGGAGTACTTGAGGTTATTCTGGGGTTTATAGTAGTGAAGGTTTATCGCCGCAAGGTTTATAGTAGTGAAGAAAAGAAATTGGATTCAGTAGACGCAAAAAGACAACAAATGCTGGCTGTGCCATCAGAACACTATCTGGCCAAGTCCAAAGAACATGACAAAGTCAACAACAGAAGTAATATTACAGTTTAATAAAAGCATTTTCTTTCCGTAGATTTGCTAAAACGCTACTGGAGTGCCATGGTTTCTTTAAAGAATGGAAGAAACTATCGTTACTGTTTTTTACACAAGTATTGGAAGCATTCTTGGCTTGTAATGAAAAGATTATTTTGGAAACATGTTGAAGTCTTCTGATTTCATGTCATCGAATGGGAGAGATGGTTCATTGTTTTCTCATTCATAGAAAAGGTTGACAACTTTCTCAGTCTTAAACTTAGAAAACATGAAACTCTGTATGTAGATGGACGTCCTATTCATGGATGTAAGAAACGGCACATACATAGATTTCATTCACAAAGTCTGTCGGAAACTTTCCTATGCCTGTAACACAAACAGTACTTTGGGAACATGGGAAATAAATGTTACCTCATGTACTTGAATGATAAATATTGTAAATGGTTGTCTTTTTCACATAATAACATTGGAAACATTCCCATCCTTAACATTGAAAGTGTCCTCTGGCAGTGTGTAGAAACTCTTTAGTTTTTGTATCCATGAATAGGAGCAACTCTACATATCACTAGTTCAATCAACACTTTGAGAAATGCATAAATTATTTTTTACTTCATGTATATGAATGAGATAAGCTTTATATTTATTTCCCACTTCCTCTTGCTGCCATTCCGCCTCCTAACCACCTGCCCTTTATCCTTGGCTAATGCTGCCTTTCTGATCGTAAACGGTCAATTGTTCTAGCACAGGAGTGAATTCAGCTCCAGATCTGAAGGGTGTCTAAAGACCACAGTCCTCATCTGATCAGGAAGCCTGGTCTCTTTGAGTTGCTTTTTGAAGAATCCTTGGTGCCTGTTCAGTAAGGAGGGTCTTTATTGGAAGGACGCGCAGTCTTATTTGATGTAAGAAGGCAAGTCCTGTCAAGTTCCTTAGCTTTTTCTACTTTCCGCAGGGGTTATGTCCTCGGGCTTCACAAGTGGGCAGGAGAACCCAACTCCTCATCTTCCCGAGGATGCTTTTTTTGAGCCAGAAGTCAGACGTGGCTCCACCCTCCAGCCTTCTTTACCTATTTTGATCCCACCTCCCCTTCACACACACTCTGCTTTTTTCGGCTGGACTTTACCCATTGCAATGACCTCAGAGAATTCACAGAAAATATAATACTCAAAAGTATGGGGTTTATTAGGCAAGCTAACAGGTAACAAGCCAGGATCAGAAATGTTAAGGATACAATTCTGTTGTGCCACACACAGTACTTTTTCTCAGTCATGCTGGCAGGCACATCTCTGGTCTTTGTGCTCTCAGCCCCATGGCCTCTGCCTGCTTCCCCCTTTAAGTCCTGATAAATGCCCAAAGGACACGCCACTCCACAAACCACCCTATTACCTGAAGGAACTTAGCTTTGCTTATTCTGTGGGCCAGGAGCCCTCACACTGGCTCATGGTCTCCATGCTCCTGCAGCTGCCACTTCTCCCTGCAGGCATCTCAGATGTGCGCAGCGTGGGACGCTTCTGTCTCGATGGCCATGAGATAGTTTTGCTTCTGAGATGTCTTACTTTATGCCCAGTAGAATGGCCATGCTGACCACTCCCCGTGTTGTAGTTTTGCACACCCTATTTGCAGGATCTCACCCTGACATTTGTTTGGGGGTACAACGACTGGATAGAAGAGCCATACCAAGTGGTTCAACTGGCCGTAACTAATTAGTTTACTCTTCCTGCTTGGTATATAATCGAGTTTAAACCATGATATTCCTGAGGTCAACATGCTTTTCCCTATACTTTCTTTAACTTGTGTAAGCTTGGAAATGTTTGCCATACAACGGTCAGAATCACTGGGAAATTAACACAAGCAGCTCAAAATGGTGTCTGAATTTAATAGCAAAAATTGAGTCAGGGTTCCAAAGGTAGGTTGCAGCCTTGTATAAATTAAATGCTTTGAAACTTTAGGCTCTGATTTGATTGCTCCTAATCCCCATTTAAGCTCGCTGCCATCCTGTCAATTCTTATGCATAGCAGCCCTATAAACCCTGAAGGACTGTTAGACCCCAAGTCATCCTGCTTGGTGGCTGACGTGGAACCAGGGTCTCTTTCCAGACACATTGGCTTGTAAGTCAGGTCTTTCTCTCCTACACTTCTTTGCCCACTCCCTGGGATTCCTGAACCTGAGTTCCAGAACTAGACTGAACTCGGTGCCCCAGGGGTTGAGGGCCCGTGGGTGTATAGGCTGAGGTACTGTCTCCTTGCAGGGCTGCCTGGGGACTTGGGAGGGCCCACTGAACATGTGTCTTTCTTGCAGACAGATTCCCCAGGCGACAGCTTCCATGAAGAATGGCAAATGGGACCGGAAGAAGGTGAGCAGCCAGCCTCGCCTCTCCCGGCCTGGGCCCACTGCCGAGATTCACTCATGGTGCTGACTTTGCCTGTTTGATTGCAGTTCATGGGGATGGAGCTGAATGGAAAGACCCTGGGAATCCTTGGCCTTGGCAGAATAGGGAGAGAAGTAGCCACGCGGATGCAGTCCTTTGGGATGAAGGTAAGGGGAGGTCGGGCCTTTGGGGCATTCTGGACTGGGAGAAGCTGAAGACTGTGACCTTCCACCAAAGCCGTGATGACACAAAGCCCAGAGAGAGGAAACAGGCGTACCTGTGTGCCTTTCGGGCTAGAATGTTGTGGGGGGGTGGTGGTGGTTAAGAAATCGATGTCTTGGAAGACATAGATAATAATTTTTAAAATTACTGAATGGTATTCTATTGAATGGATAAATTGTTTTTTATTTGGCCATTACTCCAATGATGCATGTTGACATTGAAAAATATCTATTTAATTTGGACTGGTGGGAATGCAGCAGGAAGCACTGTTCTGAGATAGGCGGTAGGAGGCCCGTCGAGTCAACAAATTCTGTAAGAACACATCAGTGACCCTGATGATGTTCTTCAAGATTTTCCACCCTTCTCAACCTCCTCTTCAGAGCTGTTCCTTCTGCATGAACATAAACCCGCTGTCCCCCACCCCTCCCCGCCAGGGTCCTATCTAATCTTTCCGGTTGCCGATCTAATCCCATGTAGGTAGATCTTAAAAAGCGTAAAGCTTAAGGCAAGTGTTCTTGGCTCCCTAAGCTCTACCAAGACTTCTTCAACTTTTTCTACTGGAGACCCCTTTACGCCCAAAGTTGGCAGCATGGGCAAATGCTGCCAGAAACTCCCTCAGGCTGAGTATGCCTTTGATCTTGAATTCATTTTTGGACACTGAGTTCAGAATCCTTTTACTGTTGCCAAGTTTTCCACGACCCCCACACTCAGTTACACAAACCCAAATGGGGTCGCGACCCACAGTTTAAGAAGCTTTGATGCTACTGCCCTGTTTGGTTTAGAGAAGACTTCAGGGGCTGTTGTTGGTTTAAGGCTTAAAGATTATCTCGGGACAATAGTTTCAGGAGTCCAGCCAGCCTCCATGGCTCCAGAAGGTCTGGAGTCCGTGAGGATTTGGAATTCCGTGCTGCATTTCATGCTGTTTCAGTCTATGGACTCTTCTATAGAATGTGATCAAAGTCGTCGTTGTTAACGGAGTACCATCCAGTCCTTCTGATCTTGAGGCGAAGAGAGCAGTTGTCCATGGTGGCAAGTAGCCTCACTTTCCGTGTTTTCCTATTCTTGACTTGTTTTCTCCCCCATGTGACTAGATTGTTTGTCTGTTTGGACTTTCTTACCAAAACTTTGGTGAGGTTTATTTATTTTTTTATTTTTTTTTATTTTTTTGAGGTTTATTATGATATGGCCAAAGTGCTCCTTAGAGGCAAGGATGGTCAGATTTCAGCTTATATTCTTTGGACATAGGGTCAGGAGAGAGACCAGTCCCTGGAGAAGGACGTCCTGCTTGGTAAAGCAGAGGGGCAGCGAAAAAGAAGGAAGCCTTCAAAGAGATGGACTGACACAGTGGCTGAAACAATAGGAACAATTGTGAGGATAGCACAGGTCCGGGAGTGTACCCTTCTATCATGCACAAGGCCTAACTTAATGGCACCTAAAAACAACAACATGGTTCCAAGGAGCGGTAGTGGCACAGTGGTCAAGGATCAGGCTACTACCAGAGGGGCCAAGCCCATGGGATAAAGTTGAGGCTGTCTGCTTCCATAAAGATTTACACCCTGGGACACCCTAGGGAGCAGTCAGGCTGTGAGTCCAGACAGACAGGGTGACAGTGGGGTCATGATACCCTGGGGTTAGGACCAAGACTGTAAGCGTGGTGTTAGAAAGGCGTTTAGTTCCCGGTGGAAGGATTACTATTCACTGCCATGTAGTCAATGCCCACTCATGGCGATCCTATAGGCAGGGCAGAACTGCCGCTGTGGGTTTCCCAGACTGTAACTCTATGGGAGTAGAAAGCTTCATCTTTCTCCCTCTGAGCTGGCTGGTGGAGTTGAACTGCTGACCTTTCAGATAACAGCCCAACATATAACCACTACACCACCGGGGCTCTGAGTAGAAGGATAGTTCCGCCTTACTCTGGAAAAGGGTTGATTATACAAGAAGGCTGGGGACTCTGCCTTGCCCCATTCATACCAACGAGCAAGATGATGTACCGTTTGTGGATGACAGGAAGCAGGGAGAGGGAGAGGTAGATGGAATGATATCTCGCCTAAATACACCTGCGCGCTAACCTTCACGTTGCTTTCTTAGGTTAATAAGACAAGCTTCACATAGGATGTGTGCTAAACTAATCTCTTGAAAGATAAAAGAGATCGCACAAGGTGGCAGAGCAGAGATGAGAGGGGAGAGATGTTAACCACAAGGAGGTCGCAATTGAGCAGGCACAATGTCCTTCCCTCAGGGCTGGCAGGGAAAGCGTTCTCTGGATGCAGACTTCTGTTCAGTCTTCCAGCTTCATCTGCAGGTGAAGCTGAAAGTCGAGGAGAAGAATCTATGCATTTATTTGAATGATGGTCCAGGGCGAGAATACTGAAACTATCTGACAGAAGAACGGACGAACCTGTGTCAGAAGGCGTGCATACATCTCCTGAGCATGGAGGTTGGTGAGGCTTTGTCTCACCTTTCCTTTTGGCCTTGCTGTCTGTCCGGAGAGAGCAGTCCGTGGGAAAGGACATCATGCTCGGTAACGCGGAGGGCCAGTGCAGAGAGGACGGCCTTCGACAAGCTGGATTGACACGCTGGCTGCGGTCACGTGCTCAAATACACTAACACTTATGAGGATGTCACAGGACCAGGTCAGTCTTCGGAACGTAGGGTCGCCATGAGTTGGAGCCAGTGGGATGGCACCGAACAACAGCAGCAACCTGTGAGAAAAGTACATGTCTTCACAGCACTGGGTAACTAACCCAGTAGCTAAGCCTGGATCAGGCCCTAAATGCCCAAGGAAAGCGGCAATGACTGGTTACCCTAACCTGGTGACATGTCACCACCCCACACGTGGACGCAACATCTAGACACCGAGGCCTTTAAGAAATACCTCTAGGAACTGCAGGGGAGATGGGTCATAGCTGACCAGAGCTCCATGGTTCCTCCAGTGGTGTGCCTGGGGAAGACTTGGCAGCTTTAAAAGAAGTCCAGGTTCCAGAGGGAGGGAGCTCTGTACTGGTCAGGCAGGCCCTCTGCAGGTACTTTGAGCCTTGAAGGACCCCATGCTCTGTGAACCTGTGGAGGTACTGGAGACAAGAAGAGATGGCCAGGGGTCCCTGTCTGTGCGTCCTAAGGGGAAACTGAAGGTATTGGGGTTGTTGAGCCCCATCAACATTGGGGAGTCCGCCTATTGAAGAGTCAGGCAGCCTGCTCAGCGCCTGCCTTCCTATGTAAAGCCAAGGGGGGATCGATGAGTCTGAGTTACATGGACCAGTTGTGCACAAATTGAATGGGTGGTATAGAGAGCGAGCAAGTTCGCCATCACAGCAGGTAAGCATGCAAGACTGGATGGCCACTGGGTGGGCATGAGCAGAGGGCATGTGGGCATTGGCAGCGCCATGGAAGCAGAGGCCTTTGAAAGTGTAAAGCCCTGACACCTTTGAGAATCCACTTGCCATGGATGACTTGGTCTCTGTGAAATTGTGAGTTCGTGGTGCAGCTATAGGAAATAACTAAGAGGACTGAAGACCAGGGTGTTATAGGGAGGTGGGAGAACAACTGACGAGGGAGTGGATGTGGGGTGGGGGTGGGGGGCAGCCTCTCAGGAGCCCTGCTGCCTGAATGAGGTCAAAGGCATGGTTTCTTGAGTGGTTCTGTTTGGGAGGGCCCAGGCATGAATGCGAAGATTTCCTTTTATCACGTCCTTTCTGTCCCTGGAGCCTGGGAGCTCAACCCATGCCCTGACTGACCTGTCACCCAGGCTGCTAATCGATGGCTGTTGACCATTGACTGGCGCCTGACCCCTCTGCAGAGTATGACCCCTTCAGAGCTGTGCTTAGATTCAGGCACGGCCACCTTGATTCTCTTGCTTGCTTCGTGGGTTCTGGTCACTCAGGGAAGGGACAGGACTCCAGTTAGCTCTTCCAGGACTTAGCCCGCACCATCTGGCTGTAGGCATGATGGTTACTTGGGACGAGAAGTCTGTTTCAGTCCACCTTTCCTGACCGTCTATCGGACACAGGTAGAGGTGGGAACTAGGCATGCCACCTCATCCTGGCAGCATGCAGCATGGGAGCTTTTCTGAACCACAGAGTTCCTACACTGTAGAATGTTTCTTCAACTTGTACCCTTTGCTCCGAAGTCTTGCCGCTACTGAGTAATCGGCTATATCACTGAAGACACAAGCTGAACATTCACGCTGGTGTAGCCCCCAGAACTTGTTAGCAGACCCTAGCCGGTCAGGAACAGAGCCTGGTACTTTCTTATCAGTGCTTTCCCTAAGGGGCCAGACCACATCCCAGCCCTTCCAGTCTGAGGATGAGCCGGACGTTAGCTCAGAGGGGTGGACATTGAACCCAAAGCCACCCAGTTGCTACCTCTTCCTTCAGAGACTGGGCTAGTGCTCAGTGAGGGCCGGTGTGCCGACAACAATCCTAGGGGCCATTGTTGTTGCCCTCATGTTACAGAAAAGGAAACGGAGGCCCAGAAGGTTGGACGATATGCTCAAGCTAGGAAGTGGTAGAGTCTAGACCCAGGGTTTTCAGACTTGCAGTCTGGGGCTCTTTGCCCGGTACCAACACTGCTGTCTTCCATTAATGACTGCGAGGTAACCAGGTCCTGGAGAAAGATGGGGCTTTCTACTCCCATGAAGAGTTACAGTCTCGGAAACTCACAGGGGCAGCGCCTTCTACCCTGTCAGATTCGCTATGAGTCGGCCTCGGCTCGATGGCAGTGAGTTAGGTTTTCTGTTTTGCTCAGCCCCCTCTACATCTGGGGCCCGATGGCAGTGAGCCTCCACCTCTCTCCAGAGCCACTGGTTCTGGAAAGGTGCTTTAGGGGAAAAGGTGGGGGTGGGGAGAGGGCCAAAGGGGGTGGCGAAGGGTGGGGTTCTGGTCCTTCCACTTCACAGCTTGAAATGTAGCCGTTCTCATGTGGGGTGGGTTTCAGCGTGCTCTGCTTC